CCCCAAAACCCCAAAACCCCAAAACCCCAAAACCCCATTCGGGGAATTTAAATTGAAATAAATAAAAATGACTGATTATTATAAGATTTTAGAGCTTGACAGAAGAGCTACAAATGATCAAATAGTGTCATCTTTCAAGCGCCTTGCTAAGAAGTTTCATCCAATGAACAGTAAGATTGACATGGCTACTAATGCTAAACAATTCGCTAATGTGTGAGAAGCATTTGAAGTACTCTCAAACGAAAAATACAAGGCCATCTTTGATGCCTATGGAGAGATTGTACTCAAGCATGGATTTGATCCAAAGCTCAAGATGAACTTTGAAGGAGCATACCAGTTCAAAGGAAACGCTACTGAAATATTCAATGCTTATTTTGATACTGGAGTAGAGTTCAGAGAGAAAGAGGATAATCGTGAAACTAACTATCTCAATTATTTCGATAAAATTGAAGATGCTAAGAGAGCCCAAGAGGTACATAATCACATTTTTATCTTATAGGAGGAAGAAAGGAAAAAGAAAAGACCTAGAGACCTTGAAACCATCATAGAGTGCAAGTTCTCAGATATTATTGATGGAAAATTGGTTAAGGAAGTTGTCCTTGATGGAAAATATATACCAACAGACAGAGGCTCTCTGTTTTCTCTCAACTTGCATCATATTCTGATTCCTCCAAAAAAAGCTAACCCTGAAGTACCTTATCCATTCAAACTTACTGGTAAGATTTTATTAAAATGTGTATAGATCTGCTTGAGAGCCATCCTAAGGTAGTCAAAGCTTTAGCTTGCAAGTACTTGAACATCCCTCTTGACTTGGTAAACCCAAAGACTGTTATCAAAATTCCTGGAGAAGGGTACCCTTTCATCCAGAAAACTTTGATTGATGATCCAGAGAGTATCGAGCCAGATGGAAAGCTAACTGTCATGAAAGAAGCCAGAGGAGATCTCTACATAAAATTCTTGATCAAGTTCCCAACTAAAATGACTCTTAAAGAAAGAGAGAAGATGGTAGAAGTTCTAAATGATGAATAATATTCCAAAATTCAATTTTTTAAATTACCGAGGGGTTTTGGGGTTTTGGGGTTTTGGGGTTTTGGGG